GGACGCTCTAGCGGTAAGTGATGAGCTGGACAATGTCTCAAAGAACCCAAGAACTCCCCCCCCGCCAAACCCCAAAAGAACTCCCTTTTCACCCCCCGGTAAAAAACAGCGGAACGCCATCCCTTCCGCTTTCCCCTGGGGACCGATTTCCGTTTTTCGATGCTTCAAAAAAGGCGGGATATTCGGTGCAAATCGTACGTCTTCTGGTCGATCGGATGACCTTTCAGTTGTCGTGCCCTTTTTTGTTTTTCAATTTTGGGATTTGGGGTGCCGTTTGTGCAACTTAAGCGAACTGAAGAAAACTTCCGTGGCTCGCGGGCAACCTAGCAGAGCACCTTGCGGAACTTTGGAAATTCAAGGATGCTATGTATTTTGACTTTGACTTCGCAAATCTTTTAGAAACATAGGAACTTGAAGAAATTTCAATTTTTGTATTTTCTATTCCTTTCGATGTCCAAAAATGTCCCTACCACCAGCCAAGCTAGCAGAGAACCTTGCTGGAATTTTGGAAAATCAAAACTACCGGGTATTTTTGGTTTCGTTGTGTTTTAACCCTTCGGATGACATGAGAATCCCACTAGTAGATGGAAACTAGCCGAAAACTCTTCGAAATATCGAGCTTAGAAACAAAAACCCATTATCCAGTTTTAACTTCGATTTATCGACCATTTTTACTATTTCACCCTATTTATCAATTGTTATGTTTTTATAGGACTAAGAAACCCCAGCAAAGACCCGCTAATTAGAAAGCTGCCGGCCTTTCTTGTTTTTCTTCCGCTTTGAGGCCAAATTCCCCGGGGGCAGGGCGCCTTATTGGCCAAATCCCACCACCCGGGCCAACCGGCTGAAAATGGCAGCCCCGGGGAGCAGATCGAAAACAACGGCTAGCTACTATGCACGGCTACGCGCGACACCTCCTTCCGCTGCCGTTGCGCCCATCCCCCCGACAAATCCGCATGGGAAATGGGTTAATTGGCCTGTGAGGGTATGGGGCCTTTTTTGTCTCGCAAATAGTGATTTTGACGCCGGGGTTTTTAGGGACTACACCTGACACCTAATTCCGGCCGGGATACTGTACCGTTATTTTGTCTATTTCCTGAATTGCTAACGACTTATCAATGAAAAATGGCGTGGGCTATCAATGAAAAATAGCGCGCTCAGGCGCTGAAAAATTAATTGTTTGGCCGGATTTAGGTGCTGGGTTTAACCAATTACGCGAGGTCTTGCTTACAAGTAGCGTGTAGTTTGGAGCGCAACGTATTCAAAAAAATCCTAATCCTTTTACACAATAAAATATTTTTGGGCGGCCCCGAATCCCCCTCGAATTTCGACGTCGCATCCGTCAAACCCCCCGAGCCCACACCCCGCCAAAAACGGCCATTTTTCCGGGCAACATGAATTTTTCCGGGGCTCCTCGGAGGCCCGTTTTGACCCCTCGCGGCCAGCAGCTTCCGGGGTTCCGGGTGGATCTTTGGATTTTTGGGTAAGCTTAAGCCAAGGCTAAACCAAAGTTAAGCCTAAGCCTAAGTCTAAGCCCAAGCCTAAACCCAAGCCTAAGCCAAGTAAAGTAAGGCAAGCCTAAACCCAAGCTTAAGCCAAAGCCTAAGCCTAAAAGCCTAAGCCTAAGCCCAAGCTTAAGCCTAAGCCTAAGCCTAAGCCTAAGCTAAGCCTAAGCCAAGTAAAGTAAGGCAAGCCTATGCCCAAGCTTCAGCCTAAGCCTAAGCCTAAGCCTAAGCCTAAGCCTAAGTCTAAGCCTAAGCGACTGAGCCTAAGCCTAAGCGAAGAAAAACGTAAGCCGTAGTGTAACGCGAAATAAGCGTAGTGCCCCAAAATATCGTCAATCAATAAAGTTACAGCTATAAATCTGTTTTCTTGAAACCCAGTCGGGGGTTTTGGGGGCCCTTACGCGATGGAAAGCGTGCATGGTTTCGCCCCGTCGGTCCCTCACCCCTGGGGACGCCCGGCCATCTTTCCAAGGGTCTTTAAATGCCCTTGCTACCTACCAGCCATCCCTCGCAACAACGGCGCCGGCGTCGCCGGAAATTCCGGAACAAAACTCCGAACGCAATACCGGCACGTCAACGCACACATTGCGCGCATCGTTTTCAGGTATCTTGGGTCGGTACACAAATGACGTTTAGCGTGACAATCGAAATTGCCGTTGACGCGGTCGAAACAATCTGGAAAATGTAGATCGCCATTATCCGGTGGCTTCACGGAAACCTACTGCTAATATTACATCGATCACACGTCCTCGGGCATTGCACCGTCATCACATTGTAGTATTGCGGGTCATTGCAAAATTGCCTAGCAAATAAAAACATTAAAAACCAAAAATCACCTCCTTTTTAAGCATTGTGAGGCCCCGGTTTTGAAATCGGACGCATCAACGCATGGTGCGGCAGGAGGTTCTAAAAAGTTAGCTATTGTAATTTTGCTAGAATAAAGGCATTTTTTTCGTACGCCGCCCCCCAGCTCGCAAGGCATTTCACGATAGACGTTCGCCTGCCGCGGGACTAAAAAAACTTGCCCACTACAATACAACCGTTGTCCAGGATTATTACTGCTGAAACCAGACCATAAACAACAATAACGATGAGAAGGAACAATTTCATTTTTGTCGTCTAAAATGCCCGAGTGGTCATCAAAGAATAGGCTCCCCCCGGCCCCTGCAGTGCCTTTTGCTGGGCGGATCAACGCGTCTGTGCAAATGTGGCCGTTGTTGAATGAATATGGTCGCCCGGATATCCTCGTTGTGAGATCATGTGTATTGAGCAAGCGATCTATGTGATTTACAATGCGCTATAGCGTCCTCGTTGGAGTAAATAATATAGCAAGAAGAATGAAGCGAAATGGAGACTAAAAAGCAACCTATGACTTCCACCAGATGTAGCGAAGTCGGAACCGCCAAATTCAAGAGTCCGTGGCGCGCATTAGATTGTGAAATTCGTCCCAAGCAGTGCTCTGTTGATCCGTTCTGTTAGCCTAATCAAAAGCACGCCAAAGAAAGCTGCGAAAATAAATTATTGAGATCATTTATTCAAGCCTTATGAAGAAGCATTTGGTCATATGTGAACAGTTGAAGCTGGCTAAATGTAACACAATCAAATCAATGTAGCGCCCAATAAAAAAGCGAAAAAATACGAGATCATTGGTTGTTGCAGTCGGTGCGATTGGAAGAGGAGTGGTCGTGGCTCGTTTCCTTTGATTGGTCACCACGTCGCTCGACCCGTCGGGCGCGCACGTGGCTCTTCACCCATTCGTGTTCTTTTACCTAAACAAATAATTCGCTAATGGTCAAAATCTGGAAAGAGAATAATGAGAAACTTAAAAAAACGCACGCCTTCGAGGGTGAGCCGGTCGGTGGGCTTGAAGACGAGCAACTTTCGGATGAGGTCCCGCGCCCCCGCCGAGATGCTGGACGGGAATTTGTAGTCGACCTAAACAAAATTATTTTGGGCGACGAAAATTGGCACCAACATTTCTAATCTTCTTATACGTGAGCTGGGTCTCGTCACTTTCGAATGGGGGCGAGCCGACGAGGAACTCGTAGCAGAGCACACCCAGCGACCACAGGTCCACCTAAAGCCTATTAAATAAAAATCGATAGTCGTTACTTTGTCGGTATGTTTGTTGCCGATGATCATCTCCGGGGGCAGGTAGTCCATCGTGCCGCACATCGTCTGACGCCGCTTTCCGGGGGCGTGCACCGACCAGCCAAAGTCGGAAACCTTCAATTCTCCCTGGGCGCCGATGAGCAGATTCTCGGGCTTGATGTCCCGATGAATGACGTTTTTTGAGTGGCAGTAGATTAGTGCGTCGGCCATTTGGTGCATGTACTGAAAATCAAGGTTAAAATAAACCACGGACAGAGAAACACGAAATCGCTAGAGATAAACATACCACAGCAGCATCAGCCTCCTTGAATCGCCGGTGTGCCCGCAACGATTTGTACAGCTCGCCGCCCTCTGCGTACTCGAGCACCAGGTAGATTTTCCTCGCATCCCAAAAGTACGTGAATAGCCGGAGGACGTTCGGGTGCGTGAGGTGGGACTGGATCTCGATCTCGCGGCGGATCTGGTGCTCACAGCCGCCCTTTTCCAGCTGCGACTTGAATAGCACCTAAAGAAAGTTTTAACACGCAAGAAGAAAAACCTTTAAAGCGACGATCAGCCCGTTTTCGCGTATTCTGGCCAGATAGACGCTGCCGAACTTGCCCTTGCCCAGCGGACGACCAATGTCGAAGTCTTTGAGCTGGAAGGACCTAAAACAAAGATAGAGCAGGTAAAAACACTACTGACCCGCCTCGTGCTGGCGTTGGGTTTGGCGTCGGGCGCCTTGGGGTCCCGAGGTAGACCAGTCCGTTGGGCAGGACGTCGCCAACTTGGCTTGCCATCACTGCTCTAAAATGGGATAAATGAGAGGCTGAAAAGGAATAAAGATAGAAAGGCAACAAACGAGGCGGTGAAAAAGGAAAAAAAGATGAAGCGAAAAAGCTAAACGAAAACTGGTGAAGGAGAAAACCCTCGAAAAACGACGGAGACTGAAAAATACATTGTTGCCCCACGGTGGGCTCCGTTACTTCCTAAATTACGTAAACCGTTATTCGCCTTTGTACCCGTAAATTGTATTGTTGCGGAAACCCGAAACAAAATGAAGTTTTTTACAAAGTTTTACGTTTTAAAAATATTGTTTTTCATCCAGTGCACAAAAAAATTTTCCTTCGATTCGATCTTCCTTCGTCCTTTTTCCTTTAGAGACACCTCCTTTCAAATCCCTGCGGCTGCGGCGTTTCGAGCCGTGCATAGGGAGCCTCAGTTGCCTTGCGTTATTTATTAAAAGTTTAGAACAGAAACACGATCTACAGTTAAAATAAGCTGAAAGACAGCTTTTTATAAAGTCCGGTCTTTTTAAACACCTTGTTTCAGCCTGTTTTCGAAAAATAACAGCCTTTCAGTTCTCCGATTTCTAGGACTATTTGATCGGCACTGGTATGCGGAATGTACTCATTGTCACGAGATGAATGGAATCAGAATCGAGAAGTCTTATTCAGGCACTTTTTCTCGGGTAATTGCGCCTTCGAAATACAATCCTTAGTCTAGATAGTTTATGTGATGATCCCGACGACAAGCAGCTCTACGCGAAGCGGCGGCAATTTGTGGAGAGCTACTTTACACGATTTCTGAAGTGTGTTGGTGCAAACGGTGGCATTTAAACGGTTTTTAGGACCGGAGGCGCATGTAAGGACCATTTTGACTTGGCAAAGATGGAAATTGATGTCCTCGGAATCCCGCAAGATTTGAGTAAACGTTATTTCGTGATGCAGCAGAAGGAATTTCCGAAAGCCGGCTATTCGCTGGGGCATGCAAGTCGCTAGCCGGTGTCTTGAAGTTCTTTAGGTGCAACCGTGGTTGATACGACACTTCGAATACGCCATACAACTAGCGCTTCAATTCGAGAACGAAACTCGGGCTCGAAAGTTGCGCGATTTGAGAAAGGTACGTTCGTCAACTATTCTGGAAGCCCGCGTTTTTCAGGCTCAACGAGACTTGCCCATTTTTGTGCGGAAGGATGAGATATTGAACGCATTGGCAAAGGTGATGGGATGAGTTACAACCCGAACGATTTCAGTTACAGCATCAAGTACTCATCATTGCTGGCGACACTGGCTGTGGAAAAAGTACGCAAGTACCGCAGTATCTTCTAAACGCTGGCTACCATGGCATTGCAGTCACACAGGTTTGTTTGGCCTTTTATGATTCATGGATCTATTTTAGCCGAGAAGATTGGCGTGTATGGCGTTGGCACGGCGTGTTTCCTATGAAACGCTAAACACCTACGGTAGCGAAGTAGCTTTTCAAATTCGGTACTTTTAAGATTTTTAGTAATTGGCGCCAGCTTAGGTTTGAATCGACAAGAACGAAACGCACGAAGCTTGTTTTTCTAACTGAGGGATTGTTGTTGCGTCAGATGGGAAACGATGCCCTATTACAGCAGCATAATGTGCAGAAAATTTACCTAGTTTTGATTTGTTAATTTATAGGTAATTATTCTGGACGAGGTGCATGAGCGACACATTACGAGTGATTTGTTAATTGGGTTACTGCGCGATTTGGTTTGCCTCCTTGAATTATTTGAAGCCAAACAATTTAGGTAGCCACCCGACCTGATATAAAGCTGATCCTGATGTCTGCGACAATAAACCTCGACCTATTCAAGGGCTATTTTCCAGGAGCACCAGCCTTACAGGCAAAGAGAGCGGTGAATTTTTAAACTTTCTCCTAGGTTCCCGGCCGCCTCTATCCGATTAAATTGCACTACCGCCCAATAAAACACTTCATTGATCCACAAGAAGCGAAAAAGACGAACAAGATCGATCCTGAGCCCTTCCTGCGGGTTCTCGAGGTTTCGCCTGTTTGTTTTGATTAGTTCTTTTTTTAGTTGATCGATAAAGAGGTCCCCTCGAACGAACGGGGCGATGCGTTGATTTTCCTGAATGGCGTATCCGAGATAACAACAGTTGCTGAAACGCTAAAAACATATGCCGAGCTGAATCGAAATTGGATTATCTTAATGTTGCATAGGTGAGAGATTTTTTGCTTGCTAAATTGAGCCCTTTAGTACTCTGTCAACTGATGAGCAGGACAAGGTGTTTGACGTGTCGCCGCCCGGCGTGAGGAAATGCATTCTCTCAACGAACATCGCCGAGACATCCGTGACCATCGACGGAGTTCGTTTTGTGATAGACAGTGGAAAGGCAGGATTTTTATTACTTCAGCTTAGTTCAAAATTTTAGGTGAACCTGATGCAATACGAAGCGACATCGGGTATGCAACGCCTATGTGAATTCTTCGTCAGCAAGGCCAGTGCTGACCAACGGAAGGGACGTGCCGGGCGAACTGGGCCGGGTGTCTGCTACCGCCTTTACTCCCAGGAGCAATACGAGAAGATGGACCCGTACACGATATCCGAGATCAACCGCGTCTCGCTAGAGGATATGGCCCTGCAGATGCTCAACTTGAATCTCGGCTGTAGGAATGATACTTGTGTTTGACCTTCGTACTTTAGTGGACATTCGCACGTTCCCTTACATCGAGCGCCCCAAGGAAGATACATTGAACGAAGCGATGGAGAGGTTGAAATTCCAGGTATATTCCTGAGCCTGGTCCGACGGTATTTTTAGGGAGTCGTTTACGCGGAACGTGAAAATCACCTCACTGCGCTTGGGAACGCCATTGCAAAGTTGCCCGTCTCCGTGCCGATCGCCAAGGTACATCTACCGCTCTAATTGATCAATAACGGTCAGATGCTCGTCTATGGTGCCATTCTTGATTGTACGGAAATGGCGCTGACGGTGGCTGCAGGCTTATCGATCCAAAGTCCCTTTACCAATCGGTACGCTTGACATACGTTTTTTTCAATGTTCTTACCTAGGTCGTTCCGCGACGGGCAAACGATCGAGAGGCGCGGCCGAATATGTATGCCTGTTGGTGGGGACCCTCTAACGTTGGTCGCTGTTTTCCGGTGAGCTCCCAAATCCGTTGACACGCCCCGCCTCGGTTTTGCCAAAAAAAAGCGTCTTTTAGGGATTGGGTGTCAGAAAAATGTGACGGAAAATCACGGCGTTGGTCTAACGACATGGGCGTTGATGAACAACGGATGTTCGAGATTTCAAAGCTCCGTGGGCAATACAGGTTTAAATTCATCTCTTGAAATAAAATATTTTTCTAGACAAATCTTGTCCGACGTCGGTTTGATTGAAAAGGAAGTCAATGAAGCTGACGAGGATGCTCGGCAGCGTAGGATTGAGAGTGGCGAGAGGCGCAAGCTGATCGATATGAAGCGCGAAGCGAGGTATCTTTAAATTCGTGCCGTACAAGTCCTTTAGAAATAATGCCGACAAGCGGAAGAAGGTGTTGAAGGTGGACAGACACTACGACCGGATTTTGGAAGAACGGGAGCAGGAAGAAATAGGTTTGTCCATTTCAAGAGCCCACAAATTTTCGATAGATAAGGAAGGAGACCCGTTGAAGGCTGATGTGCATACTGTCGAATTTTTGTTGCAGCATAACCATCGTTCGGTAGTTGTGACCATTTTCATAAAAGCTTCTCCATTTCTCTTCAGGTCGACAAGATTTTGAAAACGCATCGTCTCGGAGCACGATCTCGATCCACGAGAGCTCTTCTTGTGGCCATTGCCGCCGGGCTCTACCCGCATTATTCTATCATCGATCCGCAGAATACGTACTCGGTTTGACTTCCTCTTCATTAGCTTAACTTTCTATTTAGAGAGGAAAAGAACTGTTCACGCACACACGTCTCAAGCCCTTCTGCCAGTTGCATCCGAATGGGGTGATACCTTCGTATTTTCCAGGTCGGTTTGGTTCGGTTGTTGTTTGCAAAAATGTCATTATAGAGTCGATTGACCCATCAGCCGATGCTCAAGGGATGGCCAGCGCACATCAAGTTCTATTTTACGGCACCCTGCTTGAGACAACAAAAGTCTATGTCTGCAATGTATTGCCATTGCCGGCATTGATACTGCCCTTGGTTGCGAAGAAGGTTGGATTTCTTCAATCCATTATGCGCTTTTTATAGGTACTATGCGACGATTGGGGCACAATGTTTATCGACGACTTTGCCACCTATCAGTTCGACAAAGAAGCTGAGGGTCGACGATATGTAAAGAAAATCGTTTCGATCAGAAAGTAATTTTATCTTCTAAGGATTGTTATTTTACCTCCTAGAGATTTAATGAAAGCAATTTACTTGCGGTTGCGTGGGAAGGAAATCGAATCCCGGCGGCTTGTACGGAAGTTGGATGACTTTTTCGAAGATATCATGGGGCCAGAGGCACCGACCCTGAAGTAAGCTGGGTTTTTATTTACCGTAAGTTTTGCTTCTTACAGGATCTCACGAGAGGTCCGTCCCCCAAAAACGCTGCTGGATACCGGCTTCATCACCCCGGAAGGGCAGCAAGACTACGAAGACGATGATCTGGAGGCAGAGTTTGGGAAAAGTGATGAAGACGAAGTGGTGGACGAGTCGCAGCAAGTTGCCGACTACCTCAATCAGCAGGTGCACAGCATTTTGTTTTCCAATGACTATGTATTAGAATCCAACCGGTCCGCCGAACCCTAACAAAAAGGAAGAAGAAGATGATGAAGACGAAGAGCCGGTCAAGAAACGTAAAGTTGAGGTAAAGTTTTGGCGCTTTAGCCAATAACCTGCTTCAGGAGACGTACTACGAGAAATTGCTTCGAATGCAGCGAGAGCGCGAAGAGCAACAGGCCAACGCGGGAGAGACAACGGAAACTACTGAAGCTTAATGTTTTTTTAAGATCCTATTTTATTACTGGTTGTTTTTGTTGTATGTATAAAGTTATTGATCTCTGGACTGTACTTTCCTGCTTCCATCAATATGGGATTTTGTACCTTGCATGGTTTTAGTGAAGCTTCAGTATCAACTTTGCTTCAGATGAGGGCTCTCTTTTGTCTGCTTGCCATCGTTCTCGCCGCCGACGCCTACATGCTCTTGCTTGATGCAGATGAGACACGATGCTTCCACCAATGGGGCGAGCCGCAGCAGCAAATGAAGGTCATGTGGGAAGTGGCAGAAGGCGGTTTCCGCGACATCGAATCTTCGATCAAGGGCCCGGAGGGCCGCAATATCTACCATAGCGATTTGGACAAAGGCCTCCAGATGACCTTCACCGTGAGGAAGCCCGGCCCTCATGAGCTCTGCTTTATCAATGAATTTTCGACGCAGACGCCGAAATCCATAAGATTCAACTTCGACATCCTTGCCGCGAAGCCAGTTCACAACGCCACTGAAGACGATGCTCATGTAAAGCTCAGCGACATGATCTGGCAATTGTCGCAAACGGTGGTCGCCGTGAAGCACGAGCAGGAGTATATGGAGATGCGTAGTCGCATTCATTACGACATCAACGAGAACACAAACTCTCGTGTCGTCTACTGGGCGCTGTTCGAGACGGTAATCCTGGTTTCGATGACGCTCAGCCAGATTTGGTACCTGAAGCGGTTCTTTGAAGTGCGCCGTATGGTCTAATAGCCATGCTTTTGTGGTGATCCCTATACCCCTTCTCGTCTATATGAATTTGACATGGCTGTATATTTTCTGATTCGAGTGTAGCCCTGGTCTAAGTGCCCTGATGTCTAATTCCGTGCCTTTTGATTGCCCGCTAGAAATATTAGTCCCATTTTGTTGGCAGAATTCCCGCGACATCTCGACGGTCTTTGATCTGATCTCTCCATACCCTTGTGATGCCCTACTGCGATAACGATCTCAGATGTGATAGTAAATATCGGGTTCTCTTGCTATGCCTTTCTGAAATGTCATTTTACGGGTCAACTATGTGCAAATATAAGCTTTCCAGTGATGCCCCCGAAGAAAGGTGGCTCCTCGAAAGGTGGTGGTGGTGGCAAGGAAGAGGGCGGAAAGAAGGAGGCAAAGGGTGGCACCGCCGTCAAGGTCCGACACATACTATGCGAAAAACAGGTTGGCTCCCTTAAAATATTACTTTCTTTATTTAGTCGAAAGTCTTGGAGGCGCTCGAAAAATTGAGGGCCGGCGCGAAGTTCAACGAGGTTGCCACCCAATACAGTGAAGACAAGGCCAGATCTGGGGTTAGCGCCTAAATTTGTCGTTGTACGATTTTAGGGCGATCTAGGGTGGATGACGCGCGGCAGTATGGTTGGGGATTTTCAGGTATATTTTTTAGTTGGTTTTCAAAATATACCGAGGCCTGTAAAAGCAAACCGGGAAGGCTAGCTTTCGCATTGATCAGCGTCATTTCGTCATTTCGAGAGCAATTTTCGATCGATTGAATGACTTCTTCTTTTTCAGGAAGCTGCCTTTGGGCTGTCCAAAAGCACTCCAGGCAATCCGATCTACACGGATCCCCCGGTGAAGACAAAGTTCGGCTACCACATCATCATGGTTGAAGACAAGAAATGAATCGACCAAGCCGGCTACCTCTCCAATTTCAATGTTGTATGTGAATTTAACGTGGATTTTGTCATGTAATAAAAGGTATACCCGGGCAAACCCAGCGCTTCATGCGTACAGGAAAATCGTCATCAAAGCAAGCGTTCCGCCTCACGCCCTCGTCATCACCGGGCAAGCGATGACCCATGTGATGTTAAATTCTCGGTCTTTCGACCGCTTCAACTTTGGTCCCTCCATTTCACCGTCTTTTGCGTGGCAGACACGCCGTCGGGACCTGTTTCAATACCTGTGCCGCAATTTTGGAAATTGCAGTGGAAATCGTAAATTTCGGCGCTGGATTAGTTGGTTTTTGGGCGACTTATGCAAATTCTTGCGGCGCGCCAGGACGAGCGGCTACACGCCCGCCATATCGTTCTCCGGTCTCCGGGGCGCAGCGCCGTTTTACCGTATCCCTGAGCGGCATAACACTTTTTGGCGTATTCTTGCTTTTATTGGCGATTTTTAGAAAATTTTTTGAAGTTTAAAGAAAAATTTAGAATCGTCTCAAACTATGGCTAGCACCGAGGGTGGTGGCGGCGACACGCCGCAGACTCCACCAGCGCCCGCCGAGGTAATTCGGCTAAAAATAAACTAAGTTTTACTAATAAAAAATGCTGATGATTTGTGCCGTTATCGATGTTTATGCGGGTTCTAGAGATAAGAAAATGCCATTTTTAGATTTGTTTTAGGCGATAGCATTCGTTATTATTGACAGTCCCGTTAGGCAAAGTTCAAGGAAGCACCGCTCAATGGGGCGCCTTGAAACCACGCCGTACATAGCCATTTTTTGTTTTGTATGGGCAAACAATGGGCAGAAGGGGCTGAGAAAACGGCGAGCCACGTCCAATCATAACACGTTGCCGCCATTCGATGCTTTTCCGCGGCTTGGGCTTCTGGGAAGCCGGGATGTTAACACAGCCTTTTTAGGAGACTTCGCGGGTGGCCAGCGGTGAGTCCGGCGGCAGCATGTCGAAGCCGCCAAGCGTGTCGAAGCGGCTCAGCTGTGTCGAGGTTTGGGAGTTTTTAAAATGATTAGAATGACCCCTTTCTGACTTACGAAAGCGGCGTAAGTAATTCTTGAGAGCTCATAAATGCCGCCGCACCTGGATAAAATAAAAATTTTAGCGCAAGATTTGGGCCCTGTACTTTTTGACGGCTATTTCCATCTTCCGGAAACAAAAGTCGGTCCGCTGTCCTTTCAATTAGTCGCCGAACCCGCGACTAAAATTGATACCGTCCCGATCAGGGCGCCTAATCACCGATATCTCTCACAGCCCATTGCGAGAACAAGCCAGCAAATTTTGGACGGCACACTCTCAAAAAAGGCGCCGTGCTCGCTCAATGAGTGGTCAGCCAGCCGGAGAGATGGGGAGAGCAAAAAGGGGCTGACTTTTAAAAGGAGCGGGAACTGCGCTTTTGGCATGGGATCAAGAAAACGTTAAAATATCCACGATTTTTTATTTTTTAGAACGGAATGGAAAACTCCAGAAGTTTTCAACCCTGGAGCCATAAATGTTTTAGGTAACCGGTGCCCCGCCGCCCCTCACCATCAAGAAGGTCACTCAGTTTGCCATCGATCCGGCGGCGGCCAACCCCGAGTAGGTTTTTTTTAAGTGAATCCACAGTTTTGCTAAAAAGTGGATTTTCGCAATCGTTCCGGGCGGCGAAAACAATACCCTCGCACGGCAGTAGTTTCGAGTCGGCCATGGCGGCTTTGCATATCGATGGGTTGCGGTGATTGACGAAATTTTGAGGCGGGAAATGGGGAACCGCTTTCGCGGCGAGTTGATACAAGAATCTAGTTTGGCTAGTTGGCCAAAGGGGATTTAATATAAGATAAGATAACAATAAGACAAAAAAAAGAGCATCAAACATTGCCATCCACCTCTCATCTTCTAATATCTATCCCTCGGCTCGCGCAAACCCATAACAGCTCGGCGGGCCCGACCGGCACAGCTCAACCGGGCCAACGGGCGCACTATGTGCTGCTGTGCATGTTTGTGCTGCGAGATTTGCTCATCGCCCTGGCCAGACCATCAATTATGATTGGGACGATCGGCGGATAGGAAATAGGGGTGGACGAAGAAGGAAATTTGTGCGGATAATCGACCGCTATCCCCCGGCACACCCCCAAGACATTCCAATTGTCTTGGCGCTAATTGCCCCCGGAAGCCATTGACACGGACGTTCGATTTGGAATTGACCATTTTTGCTGATCATCCTGGCCATGTCCAGCGAGGAGGGCCCACCGAAAAGCCCGGAAGCCGATCGCCAGCTTAAGTTTGTGGTTTATATGTTTTTGTTTTTAAGGGAAGGAGACTGCAAACAAGACGAAAATCTTATCACTGTCGATCCCAGATAGATTTCCCGTGTCCGGGACCCGCGACGCAAGTCTTATAGCGCCTGGCGTACCGCGGTCGCGCCAAATCCTAGAAAATAAAAAAACACATTTTTTAAAACCTTGAAAATTCGAAAATGGTAATCTTTTTGGACATTTTCAGGCATTTTTGCTCAAAAAGTCAAAGATTTTCGAAAATTCTTTCCATTTTTTGATCAGATTTTTATACCTAAAATGCTATAAAAATCATTTATAGATAACATAGGGAATAGAATCCTAGATTAAGGGGGCAGCTCCGGTCCCTCCGCTAAAAGAGAAGCTCCTAATTAGGTAGCGGAACTGGATCTTCCTAAGCCTGAGCCTAAGTCTAAACGCGTTGCAATGTCCTGAATTTCAGTGTCCGGTTCCCCATATACCTTCAAAAGGTAGCACCAGCTGATGGTCCATGAGCCATCCGAGAGGACAGTCTAGAGCTCAAGGGAATCCGGCCACTATCCGCGATGCATATCAATCACTCAATCATCCCCTCGATTCTCGGCCCAAATAGGCAAACCAGCGCGTCTGAGGGGGTTACGCGCGACCGCCTTCCGGACACGCGCAACACGCGCGTAATGTTTAGCCAATTTACGATCGCCACCTTTGTTATAGCCGGCGAATTTTCAGGAAGCGCCCCTCGTGGTGGCGACGCATGTCGAATGTCGGCCAGGGCCAGCAATCGCCGCCGGAGATTATGGCCTCCGGCGAGTCGTTCAAGTAAGTTGTTGATTTACCTTTTGAAAATGACTGGTAAAATTGTAAGAAAACAATGTCATTTTTGCCTGGCAACCGACTTTTGGAACGATGACTTAGACTGTAATTTTCGCGCCAAAATTGCCCTAATAAAAATATATAAATAGCTACAGAGTTTTTCCTAATTAATGCAGTGATAAAAACTCGCTATAAAATATAGAAAAAAACAACATGCAAAACTCTAAAACCTCTGTTTTTTTAAATGTCTTGGTTTTCGTACCTTAGAAGCCGAAGCGTGGAACCGCTACAAAAAAAACGATTTTGGCGCTAGAATGATCGAAAATACGATAATTTCACTCATTTCTGTTTCTCTCTATAAGGATTCATAAATTACCACGGTTCCTGTTCCCCTTACCGATGCCGGGCTCAAAAACGTACAGCGGGGCCCCTCCCAAATTGGCACCCTTTAAAAAATGACCCCGATAAACTGCAGCCTCCAAAAGCCGCGTCTCGAAGCGATAAATGAGGCAACGTCCGGGGCCCGTCCGCGTCAGTCTCAAAACAAGCAACCCTCTCTCTGATAAAGGCATCAGAGATCGCAGCAAAAGATTCCATAAGGAAGACCAAAAGTACCTGAGCACGATCGATAATGGCTTCCAATTTTTAGCATGAGCAACGGCTTCGAGAAAAACCGCAACATCTCCACCGCGTCGATTGGAGACAGTGAGTGTGGTTTCAGAAACTTCTTTTTTTCCTAAATGTCTAATAACTTGATAGTAAGTGTTATAATCGTGTTTTTAGTAAAATTTAACTACAGTACAAGTACTAGTACAAGACTACAATAATTGCATAAAATTTTGACCGAAAATCGGCCATCTTTGGTTGAAAAATCGATATTTTCCGATGTTTAATTAAAAATTTTATACTTGTTACGTTTAGGAATAGTGAAAAAAACAAATTAGAATCACCTCCTCTATTAAGATAAGAAAAATTGGATTCTGAGAAGAAAAGTTGGGAAAAATTTTCGGTGTTTTGAAAATGCGAGATTGAAAATTCGAGACTTCCGGCATTTCCAATCGGGCGTACCCGGCGTACTTTCAAAAAAACGCACCAGCTTCAACTTACTTACACCTGAAAATGTCCTTACCGGAAACTGGGTCCACCCACTAATGACCCGTTCCCCCGGCTGACCCATCCAGAAGGGCTCTAATTTGGCCCAACATGGCCACCCATCCACCCGCACCGGCAGCTGTTTACAAATGGAAGCCACCTTTTTTCGTGCATCCGTTGCCCCACACACCCCGACACAATTAATTTGCGCCCTGCAGTTCGCGCTGCACCTTCTTGCCCCCACCCAGCCTACCATTATTCCATTTCACGCATGAATTTCCTCATTTTGTTATTTTATTTTTTAAGGAAATGGCTGATACGTTTAGCTTATTTTACTGGTTTCTCCCACATCATTTGACCTACATATTCTCACGCCAATATTTTTTTTCTAGATAGCAGTTGGACTTTCTAGAAAGCAGTTCAGCTTGAAATTCTGAACAAATCCTGGCTTTCGAAAACTACTGCACGATAAAGGTCGTCGAGAAAATTAATTTGTATTTGAAAGGCCGGCTTTTTGCTATTTTTGGCTTCCGCTTACAAGGTTTGGCTTTGGGTGATAATGGAGTCTTTCGATGTGACATAGCTCATTGAAAAGAGCTTGAAATTCTAAGCAAATCCCAGCTTAAAAAAAAAAAAAAATAAAAAAAAAAAAAAAAAAAAAAAAAAAAAATTAAAAAAAAAAAAAAAAAAAAAAAAAAAAGGAGAGGGGGGGGGAAAAAAAAAAAAAAAAAAAAAAAAAAAAAAAAAAAAAAAAAAAAAAAAAAAAAAAAAAAAATAAAAAGAAAAAAAAAAACTGCTGACCGATTACGGTCTTGGGAAAAAATTTTGCTCTGAAAGGACCGATTTCGTCTTTTCCTCGAAGACCGCTTTCGTTCCGCAGTTTTGAAAGCTGGGATTTGTTTAGATGAGCTATTTGACATCGTAAAACTCCATTATCGTCTAAAAACAACCCCATGTAACCAGAAAACATCTAAAAATCTCTTGGCATGTTTTTCCTTTTGAACCCATCTATTCGATGACCAATCGGAAGTCACGTGGCCACATCCATTCCATCCTGGGGCGATTTTCCCCTGTTTCCATTTCACCCCCATAGGTGGTTTAGTCACCGGTGACCCAGCCATCTGGCGCGAAGTCTCATCACCAGCCCGCAGCCAGCCACCCGAGGGGCTCCCCCCGCAAAAAGTCCCGCGGCCAAGCCGATGCTTTATGGCCGGCCATGGTCTTATCGGCTATCGGCCACTGGCCGCTCCATATTTCTACACTTGCCCGGCTCTTTGTCCACCCGCCGCCCTTCCCGCCGCCACACGCCCGTTTTTCATTAGCGTTTTACGATTTTTAATGACCTTTGAAAATAGCCGTAATTTATTCATTTCGATAAAAACCCGTTTTTTTTTAATGATTTCGTTATCCCATTTTCTAATGAACATATAATTCGATCGAAGAGATCCTATCCCTTTTCTACTAGCATATTTTCGCAAATTACCCCATTCAGCCCCGGGGCTTTTAGAGCCAAGGAAATGGGCGTTTTCGTGTCCCTGCTCGCATATACGGCCCAAATCTAGGAGCCGCAAACAATCTATTTATAACACAAGAATGAAAATTACGTCGAAGAAATAATGAGAATTTTTGAAAAATTGTATGATTTAAAAATTTTTTTTTAATTAGAGTGACCCTATAAATTCCGCGTTACTACGCTCACGCCACAATAGTCGTAAATTGTAGTCAGATGAAACCTTGGACTTCATTTTCATTTTCAAATTTTTAATTGAAAAAATCGTAGGTTTCTTCAATTTCTGCTCTTTCTTTTTTTTTTTTTCTTTTTTTTTCTTTTTTCTTTTTTCTTTTCTTCAACTTTCTTCAACTAACTTTCTTCAACTTCAAAAAACCGTGCTCTTCAATTACTTTTCTTTGTTGCTACCCCTTGACGCATCACATTACTGCCCCGGCCAAACAAAATAGCGCTAAGCGGGTTTTGTCCATCTCTTTTGAGTGGCTAGCAAATATTGCCATTGAGCTTCGAAAATCGGGGCTGGAGATGGTGGGCTGTTGACGATATTGACCGGTAGCAGATTCGCAAGGATCGCCTTGAATCCGGGTGACCTTCGCCTCTTTCGAATGTGGGCCCCCGAGGCCAGTGGCAGGTGGCACCGCCTCTTGCATATTCACGCGCATGTTTTTCCGCCTTGACTGCGGCACCATTTCAGCACCCTGGCGGTCCCGTTCGATTAGGCGTAAATATCGAGGCAGAGATATTTTGAAAACTCAGAACTAAAACCTCAGTTTTCGCTCAGCTATTCACGCAGTTGCTTCATGTCACCAATCGCCTTGATTTACTGCTTTTTTCTGTTGCTTCACCACACGTTTTCCAGGCGACCACGGAATCCCTACGCCGCACTTACTAACGCATTTGGACGTGCCTACTCGGATGCAAGCTTCCGCCTGCGTGCGACCAGGAAAATGCCGCTTTTTATGAACCATGAGCAGGATCGCCTGCTGCACCAGATTGAAGAAGAGGGCCCCGGCTACTCAGCGGATCCCACGCCGATAAGTACGCCCGTCAGAGAGACGAAGAAGGTCATGCGCTTCACCTGCGAGATCGACCACGCCAATGTGCTGCCGATGCCCAGTGGAGACCATTCATCAGTTTCCGGAAACGCACCGCTGCTTAGTGTTAGCTCGCTGGTCCCGCCGAAAAGCCCGAGCGGCACTTCCCTAAAGCCGGTCTCTTCGGTCGGCTCCATTAGCCGCAATAATAGCACCAGTGGGTTTCTAACAGTTTTTTATTTTGGCTTACCACTCACATACTTTTTTTAACGGGGCCAACCTCCCGGCACCGCGACCTCCTCAAAATTTTGTTAATCGCCTTTCACCCGTTACCTAAAAAATTCCCCTGAAGATTTGAAAGATTGGTACCACGATGATCTTGTTTTTCCTTACACGAAATCATACTTTATTTTTCAGGGGAACTTTTCTCCTGGGAGCAAGGCAAGACGAACAACTTGGCCCTCTACGATGAACCGCAAGGACAATACGTCTCCAACTACTTGGGCGCCTTCACCACACCCGGCCCGGCGGAGCGTGACCAGCAGAAGCGGGCAAAGGTCTGATAGTTACGGGTTTAGACGCTGATTTTAGGCCGACCTCGGAGTCATGCTGGGCGTCTACTTGCCGACTATCCAGCATATTCTGGGCGTTACGATGTTCATCCGTCTTTTCTGGTAAATCCTGTATCTTCGAAAATCTCGTATCTCTAGGGCGGTCGGCATAGCTGGGCTCGGACAGACGTTCCTGATGCTTTTCCTTTGCTGCTTCTGTGTAAGTATTTAAAAACTAAGCTAGATCTTTTTTTAGACATTCCTCACCTGCATCTCTATCTCGGCCGTCGCCACTAACGGAGTCATGGAATCTGGCGGTGCTTACTATTTGATTTCCAGGAATCTCGGGCCGGAATTCGGGTCTGCCGTCGGTAAGTAGCACTATTTTAACAAATGATTGATGCTCAGGGATTCTGTTCTACCTGGCCAACACTGTCGCCACCAGCATGTACTTGGTAGGAGGGATCGAAATCTTGCTGGTAATTGTTTAGCGATTTTCAAATAATTTTTGGTAGCTCTACATCTTCCCGAGTCTGACGATCGGCGGCCCGGACGTGCACCACGATACGGGCACATGGGGGATGATGACGCACAACCTGCGGCTTTACTCCACTATTCTACTTCTCATCGAATTCGCCATCGTCGCAATGGGTGTCAAGTTCGTTCAGCTGCTAGCGCCGGTGAGTTTGCTTCTGGCCTTGATTTTGACCCCGGGTTTAGGTGTCTCTCATCTGTGTAATCTGCTCAATCTTGGCCTGTTATGCCGGCGGTGTTGAAAAAACTCTAAATCCTTCTGCTGGGCACTAGTACGTTCCTATTTATTTTTGAGGATTTTCCTAGTGTTTGCATGCTGAACGATCGACTGCTACAGTCAGATGTTGTACTCCCGCCCGGCGCCGCTTTTGAGGATATGTGCCTCTACTGCAACAAAAGGTTAGCGGTATAAAAGTTCCTAATATGCTTTTATAGCAACGAATTCCTGACCACAACCTTCTGCAACTCTTCCACCTCTTCATGCGATGCAATGATTGGCGGTAACCTGCGGTGCATCAATGGCTTCCCCGGACTGTACAGCGGGGCTTTCATGGGTTCGTTTCTCTGATTTGCTCTCATCGGCACTCTGCAGAGAACTTTGGGCCAAACTATGTCGACGCTTTCTACACATCCGTCAACACACAAGCGGACAAGAAGACTGACGTTTTCCAGGTGTGATATTCAGACTGCATGAAAAGCAAAGTGCTCTTTTAGGATGTTCGTACCACCTTCTTCGTCCTGCTCGCCATCTGGTTCCCAGCTGTCACTGGCATCTTTACGGGCGCAAATATGAGCGGTAAAATTTTTGGGTTTACAAGAAGTTCCGCTTAGGGGATTTGAAAAACCCCCAAACGTCGATTCCGGGAGGTACTATCGCGGCCCAGCTGACAACTTCCTTTGTCTACTTCTCACTGGCCTTCGTCTTCGGAGCGACGATTGATGGAAACGTGCTGCGTGACAAGTAGGGCTATTTTGCAGAATACCATAAATGACCGTGCTTTTTAGGAACGGTAAATCTGTTGGTAGCAACCTGGTGGTAGCCCTCTTGGCTTGGCCTTCTCCATGGGTGCTGCTCGTCGGCTCCTTCCTCTCCACTTTCGGAGCTGCTCTACAGGTTCAGGGCAGCGAGGAATTTCGAAACGCGATTTCAGTGTCTCTGCTCGGCCCCGCGTATCCTGCAAGCCATCGCCAAGGATGATGTGATCCCTATTCTGGCGCCCTTCAAAGTCGTCACCTCGAAGAACGAGCCGTTTAACGGGTATGCTTCCATTTCTAGACTTTATTTTTTACAGTCTTATCCTGACCACCGTCATTGCCGAATGCGCCATCCTTCTCGGTGGTATGGACAACATTGCCGCCGTCGTCGATTTCTTCTTCTTAATGTGCTACGGCTTCGTCAACATCATTTGCACCCTGCACTCTGTCCTTGGAGCTCCTAACTGGCGCCCACGTTTTAAGTACTATCATTGGTAAGTATTTTTTTATGGGAAATGTGTAATGTATCCATTTCAGGACTCTTTCCTTCATTGGTGCCTTCCTCTGCTTCTTCATCATGTTCTCAACCCATTGGGATTACGCCCTGATCGCGTGTGCTCTCTGTCTGCTCATCTACAAATACGTCGAATGGAAGGGGTAAGCCTCGTCGATTGTTTTTTGATCACCGCTTTTTAGTGCCAAGAAGGAATGGGGTGACGGCATCCGCGGTTTGGCGCTTTCGACGGCCCAGTATTCGTTGATGAAGATCGAGGACAAGGATCCGCATCCAAAGAATTGGCGTCCGCAGCTCTTGCTGATCATGTCAATGCCATGGAGCAAGGACAACATCGACATTCGGTTCGTGCTCTCGCTATTTGGAAACTAGGCGAAATACCTTTAGTTACATGAACCTGCTGAACCTTGCGTCACAACTGAAGGCCGGCCGTGGTTTGAGCATCGTTTCGTCCTTTATTCGCGGAAATCCGTTTTCGGTTGATGACAGAAAACGGGCAAATGAGGTAATTTTGAGCAACGTCTTAACCGTAATCATTTTCTTGTTAGATCCGTGCCCGTATGGAGGCTGACATGGACAACCTGCGATTGCGCGGTTTTAGCAAGGCGATCATTTATGGGGAAGATCAGGTAAGGAGCTTCAGGGATCGCGGTCCAATTATGCCTTCTTTCAGATCATCGGCTCCATGTCCACCTTGGTGCAGTCAATTGGACTCGGCGGCCTAAAGCCCAACACAATGCTCATTTCTTGGCCCACGCATGATCGCGGAGAGCACGAACTAGCCGACAGCGAATACCAGACCTTTACCGACAAGCTCCACGCCGCGGTGGCCATGGAAATGGCTCTGCTGGTCGCCAAGGGTATCATCAACTTCCCGAACACGCAGACCGCTGTCAAGCTTCACGTAGGCACTCTTGAGGTATTCTGGGAGCATTCCGTTTTAGGGGTACATCGACGTTTACTGGATTGTGCAAGACGGAGGGCTTTGTCTCCTGGTGGCTTATCTTCTGAAGCTGAACAAGGTATTGTATCTAGATGCATCTTCCTGGTGCCGGTATTTAATAACTTATGGATTGCCTTTCAGATCTGGCGTGGCTGCAAACTTCGCATCATCGCCATCGCCCAAGAATCCGACAACAACACGCGCATGCAACAAGACTTGCAGAAATACGTTTACCAACTTCGGATCGACGCGAAGATACTTGTAACTTTTGTTTGGGTGTTCTAAACTTTTTCTAGATCGTCGAGTTGGCCGATCCGCAAATCTCGAAGAATGCCTTTGAACGGACGCTGTTGATGGAGGAGCGTACGAAATTCATCCACAAGATGCAGCAACAGCGCTCGATTCAGCGGGGCGAGGGGCAGTATTTGTCGGTAAGTTTTTGTATCCTTTTATCTAGGACGCGGATTTTTTTAGCCATTGGTGGTCGCCGAGCAGCAGCAAGCACGCGAGAAGGCAAACAGCAAGGGGACGATCAGCAGCAGCGAGGCCGACGCCGAGACTGAAGATAGCGGGGAGGAGGAGAAGAAGCTAGAGGAGAATGATGGTGCGTTTACTTTTATTTCCGGTGCAAACGATCTACTCCCGTTTTAGCCGTTCCGGAACTAAACGACCACGATAAGAAGCAGGACGTGAAGAAGAAGATGCGCGCGCTGGACAGGAACAAGGTTCACAAAATGCACACGGCCATCCGCCTCAACGAGCTGATCACGGAACATTCGAAGGAGGATTCTCAGCTGGTACTGCTCAACCTGCCGAAGCCGCCGATTGGACGTGAAGGTAATACAAAAAAAGGGCTAGCTTTTTTATTTGAACTTTTTCTTCCAATACGCTACATCAGCAAGTTAAAATATCGAGTAACCCGTTTTTCCAGGGCTCGATGACTACATACACTACTTGGAGGTGCTTTCCGATAACCTGACGCGTGTCATTTTCGTCCGAGGCACCGGCAAGGAAGTCCTTACAACCGGTTCTTAAGCCCCCCAAAAAGTTCTATTAATCAAGTTTGCTAGTTAGTTACCAGTCTGGCTATCAGTGTTGCATAATAGATTCCTTTCTCAACAGCCCCGCAATTCTCAAGTACCCAGATTTTATCGCTATCTATCCGCCTTCTTCCCCTCATTGTGATACCAACGTCTCAGCTATCTTCCTGGTAAACGCAGTAATTTGCTTGCTAATTCTTTGGTCTAGCCCTTCATGCCCCCCTTCCCTTATCGAGTGCCCTTCCGTGACACGCCTGTGATCTACGAATGTTTTTGGTGGAAAATTGCCCAGAAATCGGTGTATCCCGTACCCAAATGCCTTTTTTGGCCACCCCCTCTGTGCGCCTAGGTTGGGCTATCGCGACCGTCAGCTGTTCTCTGTGCATTTCTGTACGCTAGAGACAGTAGCTGCTGCTACTGTCCCCTATTATACAACTTTTTATGTCGCCCCATGCTCCTTGCCTGTGGCGTGGAGGCAGCTGACGGTTCGTTGGCCGTGTAGGCACATTCAATTTTTTACTTGTCCCCGTGATTTGTGCACCGCTCTCTACCGCCCCGCCAGAATTTAGTACACCATGACAAGCTGTGGAAGAGACCCTGATTCAATAAACACTTATGTTTTGTCGAAACGCACCGAAATAGTTGAATGCCTCTGGTATACCGTGGGAGAATCGGACATTGTTGCAGCAGACGAGGAATGTTTTGGAAAAGTCTGGCCGCTATTCGCTTACGCTGGGTTTTTCGGTCAGCTGGCGGGGGAGCGCGGTTGTTTTTTTTCTCGAAAAAATCTCGCCAAAATTCAAAAACGCAACCTTTCCAATAGTATTCAGTTCAAAGTCGAGGAATTGCATTTCGTTGCAATGAATCGGCATATTCCTTGGCGAATTATTGGCCTAATTGCGTCTTTGGCAACAATTTAAAGATAATATTGTGGTAAATTACCAATTTACAGGTTAAAAGACCCATATGGGAGACGAGCCGGACAACTCGGCGAAATTGGTGGAATTGCCCTACCGGGCCGAGTACGCAAAGACGAATCGCAGCACCTGTAAGAAGTGCAAACAACCGATCGGCCAGGTTCGCTCCGGTTCGGGTCAACTAATTGTTCCAGGATGCTCTGCGAATCTCTGTGCGTGAACCCAGCCAGTTTTTTGACGGGATGCAGGATTTTTGGTGGGATTTTTCCATGAAAATTTTTCTTAGGCATCACTACAAATGTTTTTGGACGGCACTGAAGGGTGGCGAGATCAACGAGCGTTCAATTCGAGGTTTTGATTGGCTGAAATGGGAGGATCAAGAGAGAATCAGGTACGCACCAACTCTCAACATGGTGATTCAACAGGAAAGTATATGAATAAATTATATCGTGTTTTTAGGGCAAGCATCAGTGAACACGATGCCGCAACGAGACCCGGATCTTCGAACAGCGGAATCGGCAAAGATGGCGTCCAAATGTCTATGATCAAAGTGGAATACGCCAAAACAGATCGGTTGGACTTCTACCCCTTACTTTTTACCGGCACTTTTTTATAGCGGAAAATGCCACGGCTGCAACCTCTTGGTGGCAAAAGGTGTGATGAAGTTTGGTGTGAAGGCCCGGTTCTACCACTTCGAATGCCTTTTCACCCCAAATGGCATTTACGATGGACAGCCGGGCCAGATCAGCGTATGTTTAGTTGTTTTTTCCTACCTTTTGTTGTCATTTAGGGATACAACGATTTGACGAAAAACGACCAGGAGATGCTCAATGATCAAATTGATCAGATTGTTCGCGTGCATCAGGTTGAGCAGGTTTGCTTTTTTGGAGGAAAATTAGTTCTCTGGTTTTTTTTGGCAATAATTATTTTTAGGATGTCGCTATAGCAACTCTGATCGCCAATGGTGGAACCGGAACACTGCTGCCGACTGGCCAGAAGCGACCGGCGCCTGTCGAAAAGACTGAAATCGATGAAAAGATGGATAAGCTCAAGGTCTTAACTTTCTAACGCATCTTGACCTTTTTAAAATTACAGATTCAAACGAACCTGCTCTGGGAGCTTCGCACGGGCTTCAAGGAACTTTTCACCAAGCAGCAGCTCAACGCACTGCGGGAAGCCAATTTTCTTGACAAGCCAGAGGCTGGGGGCGAGGATGCGGTGGGCTTCGTTTTTGTTCCTCTTTATTTTGAAGATTTAGTTGCTGGAGCTGCTGTGCGATGCCGCGCTGTTTGGTCGGTCGACACGCTGTCCGACATGCCTGACCGGGCAGTATATGTTCAGGTAGGGGCAATTTTTGAGAAATTTACATCTAATATATTTTAGTAGCACGCAACAGATGTACGTTTGTACGGGACATCTCACTGAATGGACAAGGTGCCATGAGTCGACGCGACAGCCCGATCGTATTCCGTTCGGTGTGCCTAATGAGATGGGAATTGCTGTGCCTTGGCTGATCAACGAAGCTCCTATAAACGTAAGTAAATTCAGCGCCGTATTTTAAACGATTTCACGTCTGGTTCTCTGACGAGACTCTAGTTTATTCCGTTTCCGCAAGTGAAATTTAGCTTTTCTGCCTATTTTCGCCTTTTCTGACCAAATCTAATTATTTTTCAGAAGATGAAAGAGCGCCTCTACATTGACCATGTCGGAAAAGTTGTCAGGTGAATAGACTTTCGTCACTCTAAGCTTTTCCAGCGGCGCCAAAGCTTTCCGACACCTTGGAGCCCGGAAGAGCCTGTGTGCCGAAATGGAATCTGGTCACAAGTCGGCCGGTAAGCCAGTCAGCTCGGCTCTCTATTTCTTTCAGCATCCGGCAAATCGTTTGTCAAGAATGGCACCACGATTGATGCTGAATTCACGCATGCGCAAGTTTGCCATGTGGTGCGCGACCCAGACGGTAGGGACTCCTCAGCGGCCGTTGAAACGTTTTCAGGCTCTCCCTACAATGCTGTGCTCAGCAGTGCTGACTTGTCATCCGGTCGGAACAGTTACTACAAACTGCAGCTGCTGAAGCACGACACGAAAGAAAAGTGAGGATTTCTCACCGGCTTTTCTAGGGTTTTTTTGAGGTACTATGTATTCCGCTCGTGGGGACGAATCGGTACAACGCAAGGCGGCTGTGTGGAAGACGAGTTTCGGTCCCGTCATATGGCCGTCGACAGTTTTGAAATGTTGGTTTGTTTTCGAGATTGGGTTTGTTTATTTTGGTAGAACCTCGTTTTTATTGCTACTTTTTAGCCACTTCAAGGACAAGTCTGGGAACGATTGGAAGGACCGGAAATATTTCCGCAAGAAAGCTGGTTTTATGAACATTGTTGAAACGGACAACAGCGAATTGGTTAGTCGATTTTCTTGTTCATTCTGCTGAAACGCTCGATATTTTAGCCTTGTTCTCTGTCCTCTTAGTTAGGGGAAAAAATTGAACGACGTCGAATTCAGGTAGCCGAGACAGCCGTCGCTCCCGGATCTCGTTCCCAGCTCCCACGACCGATCATCGACATAATGAAAATGATCTTTGACGTGGATAACATGAAGCAAGCGCTCAAGGAATACGATGTGAGCTGTGGCTTTTTTCGTTTTAATTATTTTTTTCAGATCGACATCGAGAAAATGCCGCTGGGAAAACTGTCCAAGTCGCAGATCACAAAAGCCTTCGTTGTTCTGCATGAGCTCACCGAGGCTTGTTCTTCTTCGTATGCTGCTATTCGAGTATTTCTAGTTGTTCAACACGGCAAACTGCGAGCAGAAGGCCAAGATAATCGACGCTTCGAATCGCTTCTACTCCATCATCCCACACAACAAGCTCGAGCTCCTCGAAAGCTTGAAGCGCGTGCAGGTTTGATGCCCTTTGCTCTCCTCAAAACGCCTTTTAGAAAAAATCGGTGATGTTGGAGTCGCTGCTCGAGATCCTGGAGGCGTATTCGATGATGAACCCGAAGCAGCAGCCGGAAGTGGTCGAACGTGACCCCGTCGACACGCATTATGAGCGATTGTCCTGCAAAATGACGGTGAGCATCTTTTATTGACCTGATCCGACATTTCCCTTTTGATCGGAGCTTTACGAAATCTATTTTTGCAGGTTGTTGACAAGGATTCTGATGAATACAAACGGCTGGTGGATTACGCGACCAAGACACACGGACAGACTCATCAGCAGCTTAAAGTTGAAATAATTGACGTATGACATACATTATTGAAAAAGCTCTTTTTTAGATCCTCAGACTTGAGCGTTCCGGCGAGGCGGAGCGTTTCCGCAAAGACTTGGGCAACCGGATGCTGCTCTGGCACGGCTCTGGTGTACCGAACTACGGTGGAATCTTGTCGCAGGGCCTGCGCATTGCCCCGCCGGAAGCGCCTGTGGTATGTACAACAGTTGGGCTCTCAACTTTACTTTTCCAGACCGGCTACATGTTCGGCAAAGGCGTCTACTTTGCGGACATGTTTTCCAAATCGGCCAACTATTGCCGAGCTCAAACCGGAGAAGGACTGCTCCTCCTTGCAGACGTTGCCCTTGGAAAGGTGAGGATTATCGGTTTTCGGTTTGGAGACGGGGCTATCTGTAATGTGTTTTCACATCGACTGCAAGTTCATACGTTAACTAGCCTATCGTGTGCAGTAACTTTCAAAACAGGCTCCTCTGCAAACTTGTGAAAAGGATTCGGAATCCACGAAAAAGTCATTGACAGTCTATGTAAAACAACACTGCTGAAGGCGCTAGATATGCATTTTCTGATCCCACAAAACTTTATTTCGATTTCAGATTCATCCGGAGCAAAATTCTGTTGGACACTCGGCCAAAACCGTAGCACAGCGGAAGGCCCAATCCGTCATGGGTGAGCTAAATACATATTTTTCACTTCTTCTTCAGGTGAGGGAGTGACGGTGCCCGACGCCTCGACGCATTTCGCTCATCCAGACGGTTACACGATCCCTGTCGGCAAGCCGATTCCCCGAGTCGCCCACGATAAAACCGTTTACTCGCTGCAATATAATGAGTAACCATTCGTTTTAAAACAAATCCCCTTCTTTAGGTACATTGTCTACGATGTCAACCAGATCCACCTGCGCTACCTCGTGCGATGCAAATTCAAACTCGTCTATTAACACTTGGTCTTCTTCCCCTACCCCCCTCTCATGTCTTGTCGATTCTTTAACGTTCGGGTGTTGCATTGATTTGGATTATGGTCTCCAATGTTTTGCTCTTATTGTTTCACAGATGGAACGTACTGCTTTCTAGTTCCCGGCCCTCGCGCCTTGCTCATTTTAATCCGGTTACTCGATAAAGCTTTAATCTTAGGGTTGTTTTTGAGTAGCAAGTTTGCTCCGTAACCAATATTACACCCGGTATTTCATTACAGCTTTTCCAATTTTTGAAACTTGCGCGGCTAGCACAAAAAGGTTTAAAAAAAAAGGGGGTTTTTATTTTTTTTTTTTTTGGGGGGGGGCAGTGTTGCAGCTTCGCTGTCGGTCCCTGAGCTGCCTAAAATGCGACCTACTTACCGTTGCCCACCCTTTCGTTTGAAAATTCCCTTGCCCCGCCTTGCAGACGCAAATTCTTTCTGCTGCACTTATAGGAACCTCTTTTCAAATCTTGTGCGATGACCGACATGTACAAGTTGTCACCATATTTCTCCGAAGCGGATAGGCAGCGTGTCGACCCCATTCCCGTAACGAATCCCTGGTTTCAACATTTTCCTTGAATTAGGTTTTATATAGCCTGCCGAGTTACCACGATTCCCCGGCGGCTTCGGGTCCGGTGGAAAATGGATGCGCATCATCGGTTCGTGTTTTCATCGAAATGAAACCAGCCAATTTAGTCTGGGGACCATGTCAAGGATTTGGAAAACGCGCAAATGGCGTTAATTGCTAGGCTGAAGCAACAAGGTTTCTTTGTTTTTGCTTATTTATCAATGTTCTTTAGGGCCTTCAATAGAAAAGCTGCTGCAGAACCTGCGCATCGGGCCCAAGGTTCAGCCCAAGGCTTCAACAACTCCAAAATCGGAGCCGAAACCTGCTGCCGCAGAGGAAGGCAAAGAGAAAAAGGTAGTTGGTTCGCTACCACTGTTAAGTTTTTTTAGTCTGGCAAGGAGAACAAGAAGGAGGCAAGGAAAGAAAACAAAGCTAAGGCTGTGGAAGCGAAAGGTGGAAATAAGCCCAGTGCTCAGCCACAAAAGGGCGCGTCGGCGAAAGTTGATGGCGCTACGTGGATCGTTAAGGTATTTCTGAGGTTGACAACGTGCATTATCTTTTTAGGAAGAGAAGCCTGGTGCCGAAATTGGACAATCTTTGGCAGCTAACGTTGATCAAGGCGTCAGCCAATTCCACGCGCAACACACAGGGCAACTATCTCTTTCGATGACCCCTGAGGATCAGCCATGGGTCCAGATCCTGGCTAAGGTTGCTTTGCTGTATTTTCTTAATATTCTCATTTAGATTGCCGAGCAGCGAGGCGTTCTTTTCGTCGGTGCTGTTAGGAATAATACCGCGACGCCCAAATCTACGATAGCTGTTGCTGGCAAAGGTGAGTAAGAAAACTTATATCTCAATGAGCATTAGATACCGTAACACTGGGCAATGGGACCTACTCGATCGTTGGGCGTATCTCGGTATGGAAAGCCCTTGGAGCCCTGCTTGGAGTCTCGTCGTTCGAGGCTACCGACGCTGTCCATGCGGCGCATACACATCAGTGGTTGCTGAAGGCAAACCAGGTGTTAGAAAACACTTACTTCAAGGTAGTACCCATTTTTAGTATCATAGAAACCCTTTCTTTAGGAGACATTGATGCGAGAAGCTTCTCGGTTCCTTTCCTCTCGGGATTCTCTGGGCGGTCATTACGCTGGTACACTTTGTTCGATGTACTAATTATAACTTTTTTCCAGCAAGCATCCCCGACCTCGTAGTTTTTGCGCTGATTTCCAAGCTCCAAAATCCACCAAGCAACGTGGAGCTGTGGCGTTCAAGGATCAAGAACATTGGCGTTTAAGTTAACCGGGTCTTGTGTTGCTTTCTGGTCATTTTATACGAATAGTTAAAAAAAATATTTAATTTTTTTATTTTTTTTTTTTTTTTTTTAATTAAAAAAAAAAAAATTAAAAAAATTTTTAAAAAGTTTTAAAAATTTTAAAATTTTTTTTTTTTTTTTTTTTTTTTTTTTTTTTTTTTTTTTTTTTTTTTTTTTTTTTTTTTTTTTTTTTTTTTTTTTTTTTTTTAAAATTTTTAAACTTTTTTTTCCACTTTTTTTTTCTTTTTTTTTCGCGTTTCTTCCCCCCCTTTTCGGCATTTTCATTATCGTTGCACTTATTATTGTTGATCGAATAAATACTCTAACATTTTTGCTTCGGTCGATGTTATCATGGGATCGCTTCCCTTCTTATTTGCCCGATTTGTGGATTGACGGTCTTGTGTGGGATTGTATTGTTCATTATACCTTGTCTTTTTGTAGGCAAAATGGAAGTCGACAGCACCGATAATGCGGCCACCTCCGACGCTACCAAGGCAGCTCGACCCCGATTCGAAATCAAGAAATGGTCGGCTGTTGCGCTGTGGTCTTGGGACATCGTCGTGGACAACTGCGCCATCTGCCGCAACCACATCATGGACTTGTGCATCGAGTGCCAGGCCGACCAGTCGAAGAGCACCACCGATGAGTGCAACGTGGCCTGGGGATCATGCAATCACGCCTTCCATTTCCACTGCATCTCGCGTTGGCTGAAGACGCGTCAAGTAAGTGCTTTTCGATCAAAGCTCATATTTCTTTCTAGGTCTGTCCTCTCGACAACCGCGATTGGGAGTTCCAGAAATACGGTCACTAATACATCCATGCTGTTCCAATTTCAACCCCGTGCATAACCTTCTTGTCTATTGTCATCACTTTCTCGGTTACTGCAAACACGTGTGATTTATTTATAACGTGATTTATCCGAAACATTTATGTTCTCCTTCATCTTTTGTGTTTTGCCGATGTCATGCGGTCCAATAAATTCTTTCCAGATAAGCCGCGATGCCGTTTATGCATGGGGCGGTGCCGCTGAGGCGCACCTACTACTTCTTACAACAGGGGAAGATCTTCTTCAGGGAAAATGTCTCGGTAGGTCCATGCATTCAAAACAATATTCGTTCTTTTTAGGTATTTGCAATGAGCTTCCACTTGAGACCAAAACCTGAACAAAAGGGAGTGCGGGATTTCATTTTCTGGCATTGGGCACAGCTGCAGGTATCCTTGACATGGTCGTCAACGAATCTGCTTTAGTTCAACAACCCAAAAGTTCAATTGGTCAAGCACCGGGAGCTGGAAATTATAACCCCATTTGCACGGGCGTATCTTGGTGAGACGTTAGTTCTCTTTTGAATTCGGTTTTTTAGACGACGGTCGTGAGGTGCTGTTCGACCTAGAAGGGATGGGACGCGAAGAGATTGAGCAGCAAATCATACAAACACTTGGCAAGACAGAAATCGTCGGTTTTCGTTGTTTCGCTTATATATCATCGGTTTAGGTACGAAAGCGCGAGTCGTTGGAGGCTATTGCCAAAGTCAATCCGGCCGACTTTGGGACAAACTGTGAAAGACAATGTATTTGCGAGGTAATCGTCCATCGATATTGAATGACTTGTGTTGTAGGTACAAGGGCAGCACACTTGCACCGGACTCATACGGGCGCCGAAAACGCTCACAGGAAAATATAGATGGAATCACAATCTCCTATAAGTATTCTGCACGCCTCCCATCCATTAGTTTAGTTTTTTAGGATCACCACGGGTATTTTTAAATGAATTTGTTGAACGTTTGCTGATAAAGTCTTTCAGAAAATGTGGTCCCAAACGAATTCAATGTTTATTGTGAAGAGGTTGCTTCAGCTTGGCTATTATGCCACGAAACGATCAAGGGGAAAAATAAAAAAATGGATTCCTAATTGCACTATAAACAGCGACTTGGAGGGTCAGGTCAGGAGGCACCGGCAAGTCAAAGATTTCAAGGATCGCAGATCAATAATGGAGGAGGGGGAAACCACCGAAATCATGGAGGAAAGCGAACAATTACAGACATCAAGGCAGGGATGAGGAGATACCGCGTTTTGCAAGATATAATTTGACGAAGAAGGCGCATGGGTTTGGGAGGTGTGCGCTCTAAAAGAGGCCGCACTGCTTCAAGTTGTCTCGAATGATGATGTCCGTGACGGCGTCGAAGACGAACCTGCAAAAAAGCAATAGATAACAGCAAGCGGATGGCGAGATACCCAGATTACTTGATCTTAGTAGCCCTATGGAAAGGCAGAGGCTGAGCTGAATTTTCGACCGCCCCAGCTAAACCGTAATTACACGCACCTGATATTATTCGTATCCGTTGCACAGGTGAAATGTGTGTAAATCTCCTTTTGCCCGTCCTTCCGATGGTTGAGGTTCTCGAATTGTTGTTGCATAAACGAGGACGCCTGCTCGTACGCGTTCGGGCCAGGGTACTCGGGGAAACAGGCCGTCAGCGGGCTCTTCTTGATCTTCTCTTCGAACAAGTCCTTCTTGTTGAGGAAAAGGATGATCGACGTCTCGATGAACCACTTGTTATTGCAGATCGAGTCGAATAGCCGCATAGATTCAACCATTCGGTTCTAAAAAGTTATGTTGATACGCGAGATCTGCGAGTACCATTTCGTCGTCTTCGGCAAGGAACATATCGTACTCGCTCATCGCCACGCAGAAAATGATTGCTGTGACTGCTTCGAAGCAATGGATCCACTTCTTGCGCTCGGATCGTTGGCCACCGACATCGAACATCCTGGAAAACACTCCATTAGAAGTGATAAACCCAGTAAAAAGCTCGTACAAAGGCAAGACGAACTTGAAATGTAAATCCTTGTACGTGAAATGCGTCTCCACGATTCCAGTTGTTTTAACTCTTGTCCGCAACACGTCATCTTGTGAAGGAATGTAGTCATGCTGAAAAACAACGTCAGCGAATTCGACTGAACGCCTTACCCTCGAAATTCGGTCCAAATTGTTGAGATAGTAGGGCGCGGAGTCGTTGAGCTGGTATTCGCGAGATCTGGTGAAGCAATGCCGCACGCCACCATCTTCCCAGAGGCGCTTCATTACGGCCGCAAGCTCTAGTGGCAACTCTCCTTCGTCGCAATTCTGAAAAAGGTAATCAGGCAAAGACCAATTTTCCAACCTGAGACAAGGAGAAAAATTGCCGCATGTCGTTGTGGCCGTTCTGGCTGGCAAATTGGATGCCCAACGTATTCATCGCTCGAAGGATCGCGGACATTGACTAAACAACTTTTAAAACATTAGAGCGAATCCCACCTGCATGCTGTTACTGAATACGACGGGCCTGTATTGTTTCCGTTCTTCTTCCGTGTAGCCCGTCTCGTGAATGATCTTCATCTGCTTGACAATCGTGCTCTTGCCTAAACGCTTGTAAAGAAAAAGCTGAACAAATTACCAGATTCTCCCGCACCAAGCAGCAACAGTTTTACCTCTCGTGACTGGCGTTCATGGTCTGCTTTCAACTAGAAAACGCTATCAGCAAGAACAAAACGATGTACCTGTTCGTCAATCTGTTTTGATCGCGCCTTGGCATTAGTCTGGTCGGTAGAGTTTACGCAACCCATCTAAAAACACATATAAAGCCGTTTCGAAGGCAACTGAAACACGGGGAAAAGAGGGTAATTGCAAATTGATCGCTAGAACATAAGCGCTCCCGGACGTGATAAGGACATAGAGAGTGGGAGAGGAATCGAGGTCACTGGTGGATTGTGGCACTCCGGCTGGGAGGAGGAGGCTGTTCACAGCAGCCTGAAATTTGAATGCACAGCCGGGGCGGGAAAAGGAGCCCGTTCAAAAGCAGCCGGGTGAGAGGGGGACTGGAAAGAGCGTGATGGCTGGAGAGAAGGGAGCGCGGCGTGGAGCCAGCATTGCGGCCAGAAAAGTGAAACGCTAGGGGGTAAATAAATAAATAAGCCGAACCCAGCGGGTTAATCAACCCAATCGGAAACCACAGAAGTATCCCTGGAGGTAGCGTTTTGCAAACAAATACCCGTGGAAAACGGGTCGGGCCCCCTGGGTCCTGCCCAGTCCTTTCCTATAGGCCGCAAATGAGCCCCCCAAATGACTCGGCTGACTTTCAACATCATCAAATGGCAACCCAGAAGCAAAAAGACAGATCGATCGCTGTAGCGAAACACACACAAGCAACCAAGAGACGACTAAACGCGTTCCGCCCACCCCAAAACAAATGCCCGGGCCACTCTTGTGTGCCCTCTTCCTCCTCGGGCCCGCCGAGCCACACGCAACTTCATTATACTCTCAACCCTATTAGGCCGGGCTGCCCCGCCGTTTCGGTCTTCTGTTTGGACGTGGAAATATCGCCAATTAGCCAGTTGCTATAGATTCGCAGAAAAACGTCGAAAGAAAAACGCGGGCGTGTCGGCAATTGGCAATCCCCAAGGAACGCCGGATGACAGGTGTTTTTGAGAGGCGATAGAAACCATTAGCGTTTTGGAAGGGCGCCTATGTGTAAGGCTGGAATTTTATAAATTGAATAAGCCGCGTGTAGGTATGGGGGGGAATGCAACAAATAACTCTACTTACAAGCCTTCGGGAGGCGACGAGCTTCCCTTAACAATAATTGGCAACAAAAACGAGGCCAATAATGGGGCGAGCCGTCGACGGTAATAGAAGGTCGGAAAAGATGGGGGAACGGGACGGCATTCAGTAGCCAGACGGGCGGGCCGATAGGGTAATCATCCGGTGAGGAAATTGGAAGGGATGACCCCGAACGCGAAAACGTCCATTTTCGCGAAGAGCTGCCGGAATATTTAAAATGAAGGCGAACCCTAGAATTCCGAAAACCAAGGAGATGAGGAAACCGGGATACTTGTGGGTTTTCCCCAGGGGCCGAGGTTGGTGGCCAATGGAGAGCTGCGTGGCCTCAATGCGGATTGCTCCTTAAGAAATTCAATAAAAAAGACGCCAAAAGGGCGGTGTC